TCACTGAATCAGAAATTCCGATGGGCATGCAAAATGTGAGATATGACTCACCCTGTATGTTGAATATTTATATCACCAACTATACCCAACCGTATTATCCTGCAGAATATTACTCTGGATACAAACTGAAGAACGTGGTTCAGAATATATTGGATGGTCCTGGTATCGGCAAGAGTTCCAACACTGGATTCAACACAAAAGTCAATGTTCCATGCACAAAATCCACAAAGGTCTTAAGAACAGATTGTTCTCAACACAACAAACGTTTCACTCGTTGGTGAGATGGATTTTATATACATCTTGATGACTCACTTCTGAGATGATCGGTACATCGAAAGAATGCACAATTCTGGCTGAGATGAAAACTTCCGTCTCTCACGAAGGGATGTACAGTTTTGTTCAGATTGGAACTGGAAGTTTTAGGACAGACTCAAACACTCGAGCTGAAAACTTCGTTATACAGTCACTTTAACAAGACAATTCTTTTGACTAAGTAACGATCTACAGCAATACTTCGGCCACTAAGTTGGAGCGCCAGTTGTAACGGGATGTTTTGGGTCGTAGTACGAAGTGGTGGATGTATTCGAAACTTCAATAATCAAAAGATAATTCACAAATCAAAATGATTGAATACACTGATGACAGGAGAATCTGAAGGCTACCTTCACCCGGGAATAATAATGCGGTCTCCACGGCGACGTATACTATTCGGGGTGATGTCTTCCTCTGCTATTTAGGATTTCAGCAGGTCTGGGTTTCCTTGGTCGGTTGACTCAGTGGTAGGTGTATTTAATAACGTTACAAGCCTGAATGTCAGGGACCTTTTGAGGTGACTCATTGTCTACAAAACGAAAGGTATGCCTTGAGACGTTCAAATGGACGTCGGTGGACGACTGTAGCTGCACATGAGCAGTTGCGTGCTTGGCCTCTATAAGGTAATCGCTTGCATTCTTCTCTTGTGTATACGTTGTTGTTGTTGTTGTTGGTACATGAAAAAATGAAGATAATTGAAACAACGGCTAGTACTTTCAGTACGGAACCGGTAGTTACTGATTATCACAGCAACAGTTAATACTTTTGGTACGAAGCTGGTAGCTATGGAGATATAAAGCAACAGTTAGTACTTTCAGTACGGAGCTGGTAGCTTAGAACATACAAAAGTTAGTACTTTCGGTACGGAGCTGGTAGTTAGGACATATAGAGAAACAGTTAGTACTTTGAGTACGCAGCTGGTAGCTAGAAGATATATACAGTTAGTACTTATTTCAGTACGGAGCTGTCGTTAGTGATAGTTAGTACTTTTAGTACGGAGCTACAAATAAGAGAGATAATTTGACAGAAGTTTTTTTAGTATGAAGCTGTCAGACAATCTTTTCTATTGTAATGGTGTGATTTAATTATTCGTTTTCTTTCCACAGTTGAGCCGTTTCATTCGAGTTAGTGCGAGGACGCCCTCAAGTCAGAAAGGCCGTGTTAGCTATCAAGAACCCGCCACTGATGATTTCATCACCTCCTTGGAGACTGGGTCCCACGCAAATCTGATGACCAGGCAAAAAGCACAATAATTCGAACAGTCAAGCACAATTCGGGCAGTCAGTCGTTGACATTTATATTGCGAACTTGCTGCCATATTTTATTTTCAAAAGTTTCATTAAAAATACAATCATTTCGATAGTTTCGAGATTAATTTATACTATAATCTATCATACTTTATTACATTTTTATCGGACATTGATTTATTGGGTAGCTTGTCTAGTGGTTTTTTGATTGTTTCTTCAAGTACAGCCCGAATCCTCTCGATGTTTTGCTTAGAAATAGGCCGGAGCCCTGCTTGCCGATAGCCTCCATTGCTTTATTATGTCTTTGATCTTCTTCGAGGTTTTTCTTTTCATTCTTCCATTTTTCGCATCAATGACTGTCTTTGCTACTGCTCCGGCTCCGCCAGCTAGAGATCCTAGGGCTCCCAAGGCAGCAAAGATTGGTTTCAATGGTAGTATACCCCCACTGTGTGGAAGAGGTATGATTCTTGTTACTCTGATTCTTGTTTTACCGCCAGCCCTCTTGACTGCCATTCTGGCTGCACGGAGTGCTTTCAATGCAGATTCATTCTGACCACTTCCTGATGTTGTACTACCACCACCATCTGTCGTTGAATACTTTGATAGTACATTTTTTATGAATTTGATAATGTTGGATAGGGATTGCTGTGATACAAGGCCCATGCCAAGTTTTCGTTTGACCTTCATTCCGGTGGTGACAAGCCAAGCAGCAGCCTCTTCTTTCAATTCAGCGTTCTTCGACTTTACTCTTTTCCACGCTCGATTTTCCAATATCTAATCAGTTTTGTGCCTGTCTTCTATTGAGGAATTTTGCGAATAGGCGATATCGTGTTCTCGACACGCGTCGTCCAACGAATTGATGCCGGTGTCTCCTCTAGCAAGTCTCTTATCAAGTTTGGTGCCTGGACCACAAAATCTGCAGCCTGAATGTGTAATTCGATGGGGAGTTTATCGATCAGAGAATTAAGCACACCCTTTCCGTGGTAGAGCAACATGAAGACTGACGTGTAGACAGCTCGACTACTACTCTCATCAGATGATGAGGATCGTTCAACAAGAACGGACGTTGCCCATCGAGAATTTGGATGCAGTTCTGCCAACTAAGTGAACGGCGTTGGGTATTTCCCTTTCAAAGAGAATGATGAGGTTATTAGTCCATCAGAAGCAGAGAATCACTCGATATCCATTTTCGATGATGTGTCATGTGACAAGCAGCAGAATATTCGAGAATATTTCTCAATGTGTAGACACAAGGACATTGACGTGGCATACCTATGCCAGACCTATTCCAAGATATCAAAGCAAGACAACAGTAACCTGGTGGTTCTATTTCGAATCAATTCAAAGCGTTTTGTTCAGAGTGTTGGAATTCCAACCAATATGGCGCGATGGTGATTGCGAAGACTTTCGACATAAACGCTGGCAGATACAGAAATGGTTTCGATAAGTTCATAAACCTGTGTTCTTTGGGTCATTCATCAAGATGACGTTAACCGGGATGCATGATGACGTTGCTGATGCGCTACGCAAGAAAAAAATCAACGGAATATCGAAATCAATCAGACGGAAATATTAAGCTTTGAAATAAGGCAAGTCTGGGGATGATGAAGCGTTACAGAAAATATTCCAACCACTGGCATCACCTTTGAAACAAATTGCCACCACGTCCAAGGTCATAGAAGAAAAACTCGATGGAACACTTTCAAACATCAAGCGAAGCAGAGAAAAGTCGTTGGGGTTGAAGAAGGAGAAGAAGAAGGAGAAGAAGGAGGACGAGGATGGGGAGGGGGAGAGGGAGCAGTCGGATTTGAATCAAACTAATTTCATACCTATGATGGATGTGGCTGATAACGCTGGGCATACTGAAGATGATGAGGATGATCATGACGATGCTGATGATGAACTTTCTGCAGACAGTGAAAATATCTCACTGGCTGCAATGCATGATTACGTTGATCAGTATCCTGCGATAGCTCAAAAATATCTGACTGAATACTGGACAAATGATGGAAATATCGATACGTCTTATGGTCCCAAATATGATCCAGTAACATCGAAATGGTCTCTCAACGGAAATGAATTTCCATTGAAGAACTGGAGATATACTTCTTGATGGCTTTCGGTTCCGTGGCACCCCAGGTCTCTATCAATAACTCTTCTATAATGATCCATCTTTTGCCAAAAATGATACGAACACATACAAGCAAATACTCTTGCTCAACAAAGCTCATCTGAATTCTGCAGGACGTATGAAGTCTTCCTCTAGACTCGAATACGTAGAAATTATTCGTTCAATGTTCAGATCCAATTCCAGTGGCCGTGGTTTGAAGTTGACATACAACACAGCACCTATCGAATACATGTATTGGGATGATCCAAACGAATTGGTAGATAGATTGAAGTTGCTAATTGCATCACAGCAAGCTGGAAATACATCAAACGATAACGAGATTGTTGCCATCTTGAACGAATTAGAAGAGGCAGGCATAATAAAACATGTGTGACGATTCAGTGACATTTCCGTGTTCCGTGACACTTTCGTGACACTTTCGTGACACTTCCGTGACACTTCCGTGACACTTTCATGACACTGAGCTGATGGTTGAGCAAGCATCGAAAGCAAAATCGTACCTCCTGCTGACTTCATCGTTCCAGTTGTCCACCTACATGATTCAGTGCGGACTTAGTCCAGCTAGACAGTTTAGTCCGAGCATCATCCTGAAGAAACCCTTTCATCCAGCGGAAATTTCGTTCTCCACATATGAATGAGCCACCTTCATCGATTCGCTGTATAAGGTACAACAAGACTATTTTGAAGCACCCCTGCCCTGTTTCATTGATGAATCTGATCCTGCCGTTACATTGCATTTTGCGTCCCTATCGTTGTGGGTAGAAGTGACTTCACCGTTATTTCTTCCGTAATTCTTATATCTCCTTGGTCTCTGATCGCTTCAGCTATTTCCTGTTCATTTGTGATTAGGTCTAGACCTAGAATATGGAGAGTTTTTTTTTTATTTCCTTCAGTAGTTCCGCATATGATTTTCCCTTCTTGTTTTTAATGATAACGATCCCTTTGTCTTCTCTTGTTGCCCATCTGTTTTTATGTATTTTGTTTTCATGATAGATCCTGACTTTTACTCCAATATTTCTTGCGACGACCTCCATGTACTTGCGTATCTTTCCCATTTCGAGACCTTCGGGTGTCATTAAAGCCACATCCTTTCTTTCCATTCTTCTCGCTACCTCTAGTAGCTATTTCATACATCTCGCTATCTCAATATATACCTCTCTATTTTCCCCTTGTTCTAGTGTTCCGCGTGGCATTGCTTCGAACACGTATCTTTCTGTTGTTTTTATTCCTCCTCTCATGGAAATTTTGGTCGTTACTATAATGAATCCCATTTTCCCGTTTTCGTTTTCTTCTAGCTCAATGCTTTCCAGTTATGGAAACTTCTCTCTGAACTTCCTGGGTATCCCTGCTTCCATCTTCTCGTCTTTGGTAAACACTGCTACATCTCCATCTATATGTAACAAGTTCCCAGCTTCCGTGTTTGTCATCTGGTAAGCTTCATCTGGCCAGTATTCCTCTGCTAGTTTCCATAGATCTTCTTCATTTGTTGTCTCCCTCAGTTTCCCTCTTATCACTACGGCAAGTTCTTTGTCGTTGACTTCCTGAGAAATGTCATTCTCTTCGACTTGTGTGGATATGGATACCATTAAGTGCCTATTGTGCAAAATAGGTATAAGATTAACTTTTTCCTGAAGGTTCTCGAAAAACTCATCTATATATTCAATTCAATTGTACTGATTTATAACTCTGTCTGATAGTCTTCCAACCTTCCTTCTCCATTTTTTTTGTACGTAGCATAGAGAGCCTTTTTTTCGTAATATTACTTAAAAAATCTCACGAATTTATTTAGATATTCTTTATTTTCTACATCTGTATTTCCGTAAGGATTGAATATATTCAACGATTCATTCATCAAATTTAGTTTCAATAATACCCTTCCTTCGAATATGTGAAAAGGAATGAATGTGATTATTTTTAAAGAATATATTCTACTGAGAGCAAGTTTCCTCTCTGAATCGAAAAACGAATTAGTAGATGGCCATGAGACTATTTTTGTCTGCGTTTTATTCCTTCTCAGAATTATTGTAACTAATTTAATATTGAATAATTTTGAACTTATTGATTGCGTTGAATCGTCGGCGTTCAATGTATTGAATTCTATCGAATTTATAAACTTATCATTCTTGGAGAAATCGTAATAGTCAATATAATATAAACGGTTTGCGAATGTTCTGTATTATTCAGCATCGTTGACTAGATTGTTCTCCATATCATTTTATTTTAATTGTTTTTTCTCCGGAAGTACTCGTGGTTTCTACAGATTTGTATTTTGGTGAATATTTCAAATATCTACCAGAAAAAAATGTGGACTTTGCCCCTGGCTTTCGATCGGTTCCATTTTTCTTCGGTTTTTGAGGTACTGTCATCAGAATCTTCCTCAGATAATTGCGTTTCTCTCGGAACAGTAGCCAATTTATGTTTCGATATACCCAAATCCACCGCGGTATATATTTTCATTACATGACCTCACACTTCTCTGATGAAAGTAGTTGGTTTGAGATCTCTAGATCCATCCAAAATGTCGGTTTTGAGGAAACCGAATCCAAGGCATTACTATTCTTACTTTCAGTAATAACCGCCGACCACAGCGGAAATAACCCCATGTATCTTTCTAATACGCTTTCCAATAAGAAAGGGCAATGAAAGTTATTCTTTCCGCCTTCAACACTATCCATTATTTTATTTTGTTCATATATATATATCGATGGGAAATTTATAGAATGGTGAATTTGTTCGCAAACTTTTATTCTTCAATAAATCATTCTGACGATCGCTCGCCTCTGAAATAACTTGCCTTTCTTCGAAATCTGATACTTCCATTTTCGATAAAGCCTCGTCAAGACTATCGTTCTCGAATTCTGATGTCAATATAACTGTTATATTTTTGAACCATTCAGCGGATTCTTTCAAGTCAATCAAATTGAAAGCCATTGCAAATAATGTCTTTATACAACTTTTTATTCTCTTGTCTTCCACTAATACAGTGTATGTTCGTCTATCAATTGACACAAGTTTTTGATGCAATGAGCACAGCATAGATATAATTTGATTATTCTTTTTGGAAATCGTTTTTTATCTTGTAAGTGTTCAAAGCAGACTTCACGATACTTTTCCTTATCCATACCATTGAATGCATTCGATGCTGCATTCAAATTTTCGAAAGCGAAATCGCTGACAAATGTTTCGAATATAGGCCATGATTTTCCCGATTCGCAGAATTTTTCGAATTTAATGAATAAATTGAAAAGAGCAAATGTTTCATATTCACAGGAGATCATTTCAAAGATTGGACATAGGCGTTTTTCCGGCAAACTGAGAATTCCTGCGTAATATAGAACCCTCTTTTTTCTATCTTCACTATAACTCACCACAGCACCTGTAGCATCAAAGTCCAAATTGGAGTCGAAGAAGTTTTTGCAATTTCTAACTGCTCCAAACTGAACATTTTAACATTCAATGAAGAACAGAGCTGCTGTATAAAATTATTGTGGTATTTTTTGTACAGATACATATCAACCATATCATCTTCATGTTGTTTGAGATTATTCATTGCTTCACTGCGAATCTTTCTTACTACGTCTTCTGATTTCACATCCTGTAGTTGACCTCTTTTGATTGCATTTCTGTCAGCTCTCAGAATAGTTTTCTTCCTATATTCTGCAGGTTTTATTTTTCTCAATACATTTTTTGTTAAATCCCTCTCCACTCCTCTAACTTGACCACTTATTTTATGAGGGTGACAATAATCGCGAGATGTTGAATATACTTCTACAATCTTGGCATGATGCGAGTCATCAGAAATTTCGAATTTGAAATTTCTACATTTCCGGTAGTTGTTTCTACAATAGGCAAGAATAATTATTTTATTTTTAATATATTTCATTTGATAAAAAGCAACAGTACAACTATTATTCACGAAAGTTTTCATTTTATGCCGAAAAAAAAATAGATACCTTTCATTGGATAAGTTTCCACCTGCCATTGTCAAGTTTTTCCACTGGCGCTCTTTTATAAAGAATTTCCCTTCTAGATATATACATTTAGAATAGTCTGTTCTTTCAACTTCGTGGTGTTCCGAGGCATCAACATTTTTGATTCCCTTTGGGAGTTCTCTACGTTTTATTGAAGGTTTGCTGGGTAATTTGGCATTACTATCAATTGAAATCGATGAATCCGTAACACCAGGATTATCAGATTTTGCCGAGTTGTCAGAAATAATTACCGAGGAATCGGTTACGGACTCATTGACGAACTGATATGAATTATCTATTATTTTTTCATTTCCGATAATTGATTTTTCAACAAATTCATCAATTTTCTGTCTTTTTATGCCTTGACTCATAGCTTCCAAAAATTCCGAGCTTACGCTGAAAAAAGTTATCCTGAATTCGCTGGCATCATTCTTACCGATATCGGCATATTTTTTTGATAATTTGTCACAAGGGGTTGAATGTGCATATTTTTTTCTGAGGTTATGTTTTATTTTCATATCTGAAACATCATTTAGATGAGTTTCTATGACCGGTGAAATTCTATAATATTTAGGAAGCTCCCCATCACTCACTAAACATTTGTTGATTAACAGCTTCATTACATCATTCTTCACCTTCCACCAGCTCTCCATCAGCCGGGTTGTGAGATTGTGGATTGAGATTTTCATTCATAGCAAATACATCTGGTTCAGATACATAGTCCAAATGATCAGAAGATTCATTTTGTGAATAGATATCTGTGCTTTCACTGAGCAAACGTTCTTCCAATATCCTGATTTCATCAAAGGCATCTCTGATATTGCCAGTATTTCTGTGAATGATCTGATTTATCCACTTTTTTCATTTCTTCTCTCCTTTTCGTTATGGATATGCTGTATCAACCTATTATAAAAACTATCGCTGAAGTCAATGAGTACCAGCTCCTCATATTGCTTTTGTATAACTTTATTCGGTTCACAAGCTTGTTTATTTTATCCTCCATTTTTCGGTAATATATAGAACACAAATTTTCGAATATTGAAAGTGAATAGAAAACTCAGAGGATGTAAAATCTGAATTACAAATGAGAAGGCGAATGAATGATTTTATTCGTGAAATGAATCGATGATTTCACTTGATGAATAATGAAAAATCAAAGTGATTCTCGTTTAAATGAAAATTAAAATAATGCTCTAACGATTGAAATCTCAATGAATGCAATGTTCAATATAACGCCACTTAAATCAAATGTGCCACAAATGCAATGAATGATTTCACTTGATGAAAGATTGAACATAAAAATAATATTCTTTCGAACGAGCGAAATCTCAAGAAAAAAACAAACAAATTATTTTATTCCATATAACGACACAAAACAAAAGGATCAATGCGACTTTTTAAACTCAGATACCCGTCAGTCACCTAAAACATCTACTGAATACAGCGTAACAACGTGACTGGCAGTTTAGATGAAATGCACCTGAGAAACGAAGACGAATGGACTAGTTTATTCGTAAAACTAATCAATGGTTCAGTTCAATGAATGAATTAAAATCATAGGAGAATCTCAACAAGCTGAAACTCAAGAAATAAAAACGATTTATATATTGATTGAAGAAGACAATATTCCATATAAGTACTGCTAGATCTCATAACCAAGAGATCTAGGATGAACAGAGTTGCCCCAATTGTCAGCAGGAGCGAGACAGTACTGTTTCGACCCACCAGGTCTCATCAGCCGCTCTCGGTCTGCTGACAACTGGGACAACTCTACGCTTCGGGTATATCACCCATTTCGGAAACGCAGGGTATAACATGAAGTTATAGTCATGTTGTAGCCATCTAGTGGCAATAAAGCTCTAAGGTAGAATACAGAAATCGCGACACGTGTGACTATAGATGGCAGCGCCATACAGTGTGTGTCGCGATTTCTGTATCCTACCTTAGAGCTTTATTGCCACTTGATGGCTACAACATGACTATAACTTCATGTTATACCCTGCGTATTCCATATGAGGCCACTAAAACCAAGTGAAACTCTATGCGCCTCTCTATACTCGAGCTCTTTAATGAGATAGTCAGATATCAAAAGCAGTGGTCAGTCATCTAAGATGCACCTACTAAATACAGCGTTAGATCGTAGCTGACGGTGTCGGCCGCAATGAAACTTGAGCTTATCAGCAACCAGCAAGAACAAATATATATTTAGATGCGTATATGTTGGTAGGGCTCCATCGTACAAAAAAATTTATGAGTGTTGAAATGTGCCAAATTACAAAGCCTTTCATTTATCTTTCCTGTGTTTTTTTCCTCTGACCGATAGTTTTCAAGGGTGTAGTATGTAAGATGATATAGGGTGATATTAAATTGTAGGAATACTCTGTATAATAGGTTAAGCGAGGACAACGCACCGTGTGGGTTGTTAACACTGTTGTTATCAAGACGCACGGTGTATTCATGATTTTAGGTTGTTTAGGTTTAGGGTACGTTCCTATGCTTTATTGTATATATATATATATATACCTGGTACCACCAATAAAGACGAGATTGATTCTAACTTGACTTTGCATTGATTACTAGAATGTCTGTCGCCATACATTCACAACCCAGTTATTAACCTGGAATAGGAATGATCATTCATCCTTTTACATGGCGATCCTGCCAGTCGTTGTACTGTTAGAATTTACACGATTGGTATACCTAAATACTGGATATGGGGAACCAGCAAGCAAAGGAAAACTTCGTGATTGGCCAAGCAGGAATCAACGGAGGTGCCATCAATAATACTGCAGCCGAAGGAAGTCAACAGAAATATACCATATTCGAGGTACTGGCCGTAGTAGTTGGTTGCTTAGTTCTGGTAGCAATCATCCTGTATATCCGAAGACGAGCGAAGAAAGCACTAGAGAGGAAGATTAGGAGAGAACTTTCCAGGAGCCAGGAGATTGTGTGAAGCCGAGAGAAATTGAACTTCAACCCATAGATGAGCATCGAGTTGGAGTTGCAGCAGGTTCGAGGAGGCGCAGAGAGGAACGCAGGATTAATATGTATAAGGTAGATAAGTTAATTAGTGTTAGGTAGTACAAATGATAGAATTTAGGCATATTTATGAGGAAATTAGGGTTCTTAGACGTAATCTAACAAAAGATAATTCTCAGAGGCGAGGTAATTTGCAATTAGTTGATCAGAAACGTTCAGAATTGAGGGAAATAGTAGACAATTTCAATAAGATTAAGGAGTTGTTTAATAGTAGAAGTGAAAAAATTTTAGAAGAAACGGCACAAGTCAAAAGTTGCTGCTAAAGAAATAAATAGTTTGATTTCTGAAGCACATTCTATTTTTAAGGACATATTATCAAATATAGAAAAAAGAGGAAATATCGCAAAAATTGGCGAAAAATTTGACCTTAGGACAGCTTCTTCTTTAATTCCCATTATGGATAACACGGAAGATACGACTAAACAGCTTATCGATGCTATTGAGTTATATAGTGATCTTCTGGATCAAGATGGGAAAACATTCTTGATCAGCTATGTATTAAAAATTAGGCTCTCTCAAAATGCAAAATTAAGGTTAGAAAATACTTACAATTCTATCGATAATCTATTAAAGGACATGAAAGTTCATCTATTCACTAAAAAGTCTGCTGCAGCTTTGTCAATTGAAATTCATAATGTCAAGCAGGAAAATAAATAAATAGAGGAATTCGGAAAAAGTATTGAAGAACTGTTAGTGAATTTAACCTTATGTCAATCCAATGGAGATGATGATAGTGCAAAAATTTTGTCAAAAGTAAACGAGAAAATAGCGATTAATGCTCTTGCAAATGGGCTGAGAAATTCTGAGTTACGGACCATCGTTAAAGCAAGGAATTATAATAATCTAAGGGATGCAATAGGCGGTGCTAAAGATGAAGATGAGTCAAAGATAGGGTCTACAAATTCTCAATGTTTCCATATGAGAGATCGAAGAGCTAGACGCGGTTTTTTAGGAATCAGAGGAAATCAGTATTTCCACAAAAATAACAATAATAATTCCATTAGGTTCAATCAAAACAACGAATTTAGACAGTCAAATAGCCAACAAAGAAATTTTCCTAATCAGCGATATAATAATAATCGTGGACGCGGTAGCGTGAATATGCGTCGTTCAAATCGGTATAGAAATCAGAATAGCCAGAATCATAGAGCTTATCTTGCGGAAAGTTCAAGTTCAAACACTGAGGTCGATAACCAAGTAAACAATAACAACTCTGCGAGTGAACGGTTTTTTCGTTCCTAAACAAAATGGAAATATTATGAACGATGTTGTTATGTTAAGTATGAATGGGATGAATTTTGTGAAAATGAGATATGGAACAAATGAACTCATATTTTTGATTGATACTGGAGCAACTATTTGTGTTCTTTTTGCAAAATATTTAGACAAGTGTGAAAGAATTGACACCTCAAGAAATATAAGAATGAATGGAATAGCCACATCAACTATTTCACAAGGTTCAGTGAATGTTTCTTTGTTTATACAGGACGCGATGATTAAGCACGAGTTTTTATTACTTGATAACTTTGCAAATGAGATGCATGGAATCTCAGGATCCGATTTTCTTACTAAATATTGTGCCACCATTGATTTCGAGAAATTCTGTTTTCCTCTATGGAAGAATAACAGGAAAATAACCATGCCTTTACAGTCAAAATACGATTGTTATACGATTATTCCACCACGTTGTGAAATTATCAAGTACTATTGGATTGATAGTGATGATGAATGTGTTGTATTAGGGGATGAATTGAGCGAAGGTGTGTTTGCAGGTAGCGTGATTGCAAAACCAAAAAATAATTTGATACCCGTTAGATTATTGAATGTTAATGACAAGGAAGTAAAACTTCGGAACTTCAGACCAAAAAGTGAAAAACTTGCCAGTTTTGATGTATGTAAATTTGAGGGCAAGGATTTAGCTGTTGAAAGAATAGATAGAGTGTTAGATCTTGTAAATGTTGATTCGCTGAATAAAGAGGAAATAACGGCAATCCAGTAAATATGTGCGAAATATGCGATGTTTTCCACTTGGAGGATGATTCACTTTCGGTAACTAACGTTGCGAAACAAAAAATCCAATTAAAGCAAAATGCGAGCTCAGTTTACGTGAGGCCCTACAGATTACCACCTCCTCAGAAAGCGGAGATTCATAAACAAATTGATCAAATGTTGCAGAATGATATTATCGAAGAAGCAATATCAGAATGGTCTTCGGCATTACTCACAGTGCCTAAAAAATGCGACTGCAAAGGTAACAAAAAATGGAGAGTAGTGATCGACTATAGGTTGTTGAATAAACAGATAAAGGACGATAAATTTCCACTGCCCTGTATATCAGAAATCTTAGATTCATTAGCAGGCGCAGTCTATTTTCTCACCTTGATCTGTCTCAAGGATACTACCAAGTAGAGTTAGATCCTGCTAGTCGACCATATACATCATTTACAACCGATAGGGGTCAGTTCCAAATGAAGCGCTTACCAATGGGGCTGAAAATTAGTCCAAATGCTTTCTCCAGAGTAATGACAATGGCTATGTCTGGTTTGAATTACGAGTCATGTTTTATTTATTTAGATGATCTGACCATTTTTGGAAATAACTCAACTAGCCATAACAAAAACCTTGTCAAAGTGCTAGAAAGACTCAGAAA